TATATATATAACAAGCTTTCGTTGATAGGTTTGAAACTAGCTGAAAATACAAGAAGAAATTCGACGTTTCGAGCGAAGGCACTTCGCTGGGAAATTAGTAACCTACTAAAGTTGGCTAATTCAATAATTACGTTAGCATCAAGCTTTACCTAATTAGATGACAGTTGATTACCGATGTCATTAATAAAGGCAAACAACTGAATTCATTCAACGACGAGTCAGATTTGGCAATCACTAATTTGATTTATAGGTCTATGCGCATACAAACAAGAAATTACCAATCAAAATATCACCAATTAAACTTGGCTAAACAAAGCCATACCTTCCATAAATCCTCGAGGACAAAATCCTCCTTTACGAAAGATGCAGTAACTTCCCTTTGGCCACGAACTTACGCGCGAATATCTCACTCTAGTTTTACAACAAAATCCCCATCCTAGATCTTTGCCTCGCGTTGCAACATACGGGACGTCCCCTCGTACCGTATTGTTGCCTTCTGTGGTGTGGAAACGATAACCTTCTTCCCAACCGAGAGGGCATCGTTCGTTTGATGGCATTGGTAGACAGTATTGCCCTCTGGGCCAGACCGCCGAGGTTTGAGTACATACAATCAACAAGATAAAATAAAATAGCGTTGTCATGATTTCTTTATATTGTATCAGGTTGAGATAGGCTGCTCTCCTTTCTTATACGCGGTATCTATCTTTCGACGAGTGAATCCTGCTTTTTAATTAATATACTAGCAATAATTTTGAGTGGTCTGTTCTTTGCCCAATCCACAACGGATGTTTGTCATGCCTAAAAATTGCCAGATATTTTTAAATGAAATCTTAACCGAAATATGATACGAAAAACACTTAAATGCGGAACATTATGAACTTTAAATTGCCAAATATTTTGAAATGTTTGCGTTTTTTATGGTATTAAGGAACTAAAGGAAGTCGTTGGATTCTTGAGTTGAAATGTTGTCATTCATCAATGTTTATTACGTAAAAGATGTGAAACAATCGAAGGTCATGCATGATCGAAAAGTCGAGATTTTGCAGAGGTGTTGATACTTGGTAGCCCAGTGGTCGCAGTAGTGCTTTTCACATCTGTAAACGGGTTTTGATAACCTCCATCGACTTCGATTGCCAAGCAGACCCAATTGTTCCTGTGACGCAATTAATTTGTGTGGCGATGACGTGTGCATACAAGGTCAAGCATGCAACAGCTCACATGCATGCGTGCCAACGTGTCATATTCCGTGATCCAGATATATCCGAAGTAAGAACTCGCATCCAAAAAGTGAAGGCAAAGATAGCGGAATCTGAAACTCTAGTAGCAGTCCATTTCTATTGACCAGGACGCCCTTGTTAAAATAACCAGACTATGCTAAGGAGATAAATACCAGAGCCCTTGGTTATTTATATCCACCAACAATCTTGGACATATGCACCTATCAATGTTAAGCCCAAGTCGGACATATGTCGGGCATTTGATTTTTTGAGCAAATTTTCAATCAAATACCCCACCGTCAGGCAATAAATATTGGTCAAATGCCCCACCATTTTGCAATAAATTGCAATAAATACTATATTAATAAAAGTCATTTAGGTCAAATTGCCCCAACTCGGGGCCCAAAATGCTAATCAAAATCCCCAGGGTGGGGATGCAATTGATGATTAAGTACCCCACATTTGCCCGACCCCCCCCCCTCTGGGGCTTAACATTGATAGGTGCATAACCGGTTGAGATTTTCTGTTGACGAAATTTATTGCCGGACGAAATTTATTTTATTTTACAAGATTTGCCACACTTACAAACATAATACCACAAAACCATTACACAATATTACATATTTTACATACAGTACAGGCAGGGACTGACCACAGAGATAATCTCCAATAATGGAGTCCCGAACAAATGCTAACAATACATTTACGTGACTATTGGCTTTGGTTAACTCAGTAACTGTCAGCACTACATGTTTTTACTCTTAATCTAGCGAGAGGACGTGTGGCAATTGGCGCACACTGACTTGAATGTTCTTTAGGGTCCAGACAACAAAACGAAAACTACCAAGATTGAAAGTCGAACCTCTTCCCACATTCACAATTGGTCCATTGTTTGATTGACTAGGACTGTATTGGGCCCCAGTGCGCCCTGCTTTATAATCTTACTCTGTCAAGGCGAGAGCGCGGCGCTCAATATATGGGTTAAATAATTTTTCAAATAATTTTATATTCTGGTTTATTCCGATATAGAAAAAGCCAAAGATTGCTCTCAACTTTAATCTTGATGAAAGCACGGACAACGAAAAAAATCCTGATAGGTAATGAGTTTTAATATTTAAAAAGGTTACAAAAATTGCAATGTGATTTATTAAACCCTACACATACAAAACTGACCGTTTATATATTGTTTTTGCAGTGAGGAAGAGAAAATCCCACAGTATAAGTATAGGGAAGTTGTGAGAGGCAAGGATAAACGGGCAAAGTTGAACGGATATTTCTGTGCTGATTGTGAGAAGGTAATACATCTCCTATTGCTAAATATCAATCGATGTTGGATGCCATGCAGAATTCAAAAGAAATTAAAGTAATTAAGTGTTTCGCATGGTGCGATAAATCGCGTACTTATACGTACCAGAGGTATGCCAATATTAGGGCCTGGTACTTCTTTGTGTACTTACGTATCAGAGGTACTTCTTTGTTTTCAACCAAATACCACGTAGGTACACGGAACTCTTGCTCTATGCGTACTTGCGTTTTGCTGATACCATATACCATATACCGTATATAGGTATACGTAACGTTATATATAGGTATGTCTAACATGTCTTGGTACAAGAATGGCTGGACTGATTGATGGGACTAAGAAATGTTGGAGCCAATTCTAGTGTTTGTGTATGCAATTGCCGTCCTTCCTGTTCTAACTTGTATTTCGGGTTACTGAATAAATACCTTTCAGAAACCTCTACTTTATGTTCATAATTTCAAAGAGTGAATATACCGTGAGTCTTAAATTTGTACCAGATCAAGTACGAGGCAATCATTAGAGTACCAGTCTGCAGGTATGACTAAAAATCTCGCGAATTATCGCACCCTGCGTTTTGAATAGTTTTGATCAATTCGAAAACTAGAGCTACCATTATGTTTTATGCAGTATCAGGCTAATAAACAATTAAAAGTTTTTCAACAGAGAATGCTATTTAAGGCAAAGGAGTGTATAAGTTTAAGATTGAAAAAAAAATCTATGGAAGCGAAATCATAGCCCTTGGAAATGTGTGAAAAAACACCAAAATTGTGCTAAATTGGCAGTCGGTATTTTTAAGATTTAATTTCTCAAAGAGATGCACGGTATTATATTTTATACTTTGTAAAACAGATAATCTCGAAGTATTCAATCAGGCGGCAGTGGTTACCAGTTGGTTGAAATTAATTTTGGGAGAAAAAAGATTGACAATCTCTGAGTTCTGGCAATCCGTCATACCATTGGCAAATATCATATCTTCATACCATATGACAAAGCAACGAAATCCAAGAACATTGAACAAAAAACAAAAAAGAATTTATTCATTCTTAATTATTTTCAATTAGTTATAACCGAATTTCATTCCATAACGATTAAAGGACAATGACAATATAAGATTTTTATTGTCTCGTTTGAAAGAAGGTAAAAATTATCTCTAAAATATTCTAACAGATTTGATTCTTGAAATATTTTGACTGAAAAAAAAACAATAAGCTGTCCGCCATCTTGGATTAATTCTTCATCTCATTAACTATCATCATGAGTGGGGTTGGTCTTATAAAACAACTTCCAGGTTACTGAGTAAGTTCAAACATTTATGTTCTTTTCCATTTCAGTATTTTGGCAGTCTAAAATTGAGCGAAGCAGAAATACAGGAACGTCTGAAGGCATGCTCAAGGCATCGCGCCCGATTCTCCCCTCCGCCCAGCACACCCGAACATTTCTGGCAGGTTGATTTTATGAACACGAATGAATATATCGAGAAAGGTTATATGAGAACTGAATCTGAATTACCGCGCGAGAAAAGGAAACTTAAAAGTCGAAGGTTCAAATTAGGAAAGCAACAGAAATCATAAATTAAGCTATTATAGATGAATGTCTAATGTTAATTTAAAGTTGCAATAAGGTTGTTGTCAAGCCCAGTTCCCAGTTGTTGTAACAAGTCTGAAACACGTTGTTGTCACCTTGTTACAAGGTTGATGACGGCAATAGACTTGCTACAAGTTTGTTCCAACAAGACAAATACCAAGGCTGTTTGTTGTCATCAACTTGTTGACAACTTGTTACGTGCATGCAGACGTGTTCGGACTTGTGGAAACAACTTGTTGCGAGTCTGTTGGCCTCATCAATCTTCAATGAGGCTCCCAGGCCAAGGAGATATTTGTGGCGTAATTATCAGAAAGGTGTATTGCAGGGTCTGGATTCCAAATTGTTTTTATCCTGAAAAAGATACAGATATCGTTTTTCAGAATACACTCGAAACGTCGAAATTCTATGTGGTTATGGCCGATGAGCAGTTAACAGCGGAAAACTTCGCTTTTGCTAAAAGATCCGTAAGTTTAAACGTTTCAGTATTTTTTCCTGAAATTGTGGCTTGTAAAGTTTAGCATCAGAGGAACGTGACTAAATTTATTTATATTGGACAGCTCTATCGGTTCTAAACTGTTCTTTCTAGAAGAGCAGGCCTTAAAATATCAGTCGGTCACGGACATTGTCCGACCCATTCGTGAAATTGTCCGACGTAGAGAGGAAGCCACCGGACATTCTGTCGGACATAAGTGAAACTGGGGTTTACCGTTTGTCCGACCCGAGTGTATTGGTGTCCAACCGAACTGTAGCTTTGTCCAACGTAAATCAACCAGCAATAAGACTCGCGTATGCTGAATGGAAAATCAGAGGACTATTGAGTGTTGTATAAAAAGTGAACTGGAAATGTTGTTTTAACGTAGCTAATCGAGCGCGGGGCGGAGACGTGCAAGCGAAATGGTGAAGTGGAAAACGGGCTTAAGTTGTCGAAGTCTTAATTACTGCTGTTCTTGCAAGCAAGTTAATTTTGGCTTGGAAATAAGTATGAATGACACAAGTTATTTAATATCTTCACAACATTTACCGTTCAGAATTAATACATTGTGCTGATGTTCATTTGTGTCATTCAGGCTTATTTCATGCAAGTCAAAATTGAACTGAAGGCCAAACTCAACGTCATCGGACATTTTATCAGACGGCCATGTAAAAGATATTTTAAGGCCTGTAGAAGAGCCATCCACAACTGTTCCAGTGTTTCTACAGAAGGAAACAGGAGCACCAGTTCATACAATATAATCAGACGGACTTCGCCAGCATAGGTAGCGACGATGACAAGACAGCTACAGATTGAAAGAGATACAACTACCTGGAAAATACAGGCAAAACTTCGACGTTCACGGCTAAGGCCCTTCGTCGTGAAATTAGCCCGCTACTAACTTCCCTACGAAGGGCTCGAAATGTCGAAGTTTTGCCTGGAAGTTCTCCTTTTATTTTCAGGTTGTTGTATCTCTCAATCCGCAGCTGTTAAAATAATCAGACGACTTCATATAATTTTAGGAATCCTCGGGTAGAGAGGTAAAAATGCGTATATGCACTGGCCAACCCACCGACACCCCTGTTAATTAACCCCTTGTGATTGTTCTGGAAATGAGAATTTCCTGAAGCACGCCTAATCAATGCAAAGTGTTTTTCTCTTTGCCCTTATTCTTTCTTTATTGCTTTACATTGCAGTTTGACTACATATCAGCTAGAATTTGCTATTAGATATGCGCAGTAAAAGTGCGCAGCAAAAGTGCGCAATGCAAAATTGATGAATCACCTTAATTATGATGTCACAATTATCTATATCTCGCGTGCGCGGCTTTCCAAGCAGTGTCACACAACAAAATCACATTCACGCCGCCGCATGTTTGACCTATCCTGTTGCGAATATTGGCATGCAAAAACGAAAAACTTTCTACTAAAAAAATGGCGATTGGACAGTTCCCGTAAATCGACACCTTTCAAGTCCAGTCGCTACTCAACTTTCTCAGAAAGATTTCAAGAAATCCCGCCTAAGTCTCAATTGAGCGTCAAGACAATTCGACTGAGTGAGAATTCGTTTGTTCATGATTTCTCGGGCTTCAGTGATCCTGAACGAAAGTTAAGTTATGCACGAGAAATGGCTCATTCTGTCAGTGATGAAGAAATATATGGAAGATATGTTGTTGTAAGTATATGTGCGATTTTATAAGGCTTGTTTCAGCTCCTTCTCAACCGTTTTGGCCCCCACAATCAAAGTTCCTTTTTCTGAATATAAGCAAAACATTGGAAGAAAAATTAAGTTTGGAAGAGAAGTTTCGGATATTCTAGTAACTGATATTTACTTTGTGAATCTTATGTCGTGTCTTTTATCTTCAAATAATTCAATGTTTTTTAAAAAAATACTAAACATTGTGTGGAAAATAACTTAAATAGTTTAAAAATTGCCCAGCTAGTGGATAGCATATTCCAGACCCGGCCTAATTTGAGTTGTTGGAAGGCTAGGCTAAACAAGCTAGTCACCGAGGTGTGGTATTTACATAAATATACCATGCAAGTACTTAACTGAAGATTTGGTCTATCTACAGTATGATGTAACGATGTAGCTATATCCAACGATCTGTTTCAGAAAACGTACGAAGTGCGGTCTTGCGGAGTAGGGGTGGAAAAATACAAATATTTTCTGGGGAAGACCGCATTTGACACCACACCAAACTTTTTGTCTGGTATGGTTCCTTTTTGCAGATGTTCATAAAACTATAGTGTTTTCTTCGAGGTTAAAGTTACAGGATAACCCTTTTTGGCCTTACATTTTCACCAAATGTTCATCAGTTCATGCAAAATATGGCAAAGTTGTAAAAGTAACAATAAAATAAAATAATGTAACAATTATTCACGATAATTTAAATCGCGGCACTTTTACGATTTGGAGTTGTGTTCCTGCTAGTTTTAAGATATATTTATACAAACATAATTTTTATACAGTAAAATAGTTGTTCTAAAAAATTGTGTTCGGAATTTTTTGTTTATTTCGTCATTCTGCTGATTTCTTTGACGACTGCAATATATTTCTGAATCGTATGTGTGAACTACTTATTGTTCATATATCCGACAAAATTAGAAAAAATCCGAACACAATTTTGAAACTGACGTCTTCTATAGCTTAAAATCGGCTGGGGAACAACTTGTTTGAAAATCGGTAATTGCCGTAAAATTGCCAAGAAAATTGAATTTGTTTTTCTTATTGCAGCAAGATAACTCTGCGAGTTTTCAACATTTTTCGTTCAAACTTGGTCAGATAGTAGAACTAGTGAGTAGTGTATAAATCACTAATGGTTTCATGGAAACCACTCAAAAAATTTTAGGCAAAATTGACACTCAAATCTGTTCTATAACCTTAAAATACAAAACACACTCGTTGCCCAACTTCGTGTTAGCCGCGCAGACAAAAACAATAAAAAGGGACTCGAACTGACCCCTATCGTGACTGTCCTTGCCATAGGACTTAATACCACAAGTAATATATATATATATATATATATATATATATATATATATATATATATATATATATATATATATATATATATATATATATATATATATATATTTTTATCGCAGTGATGTGATCGCAGTGAGTGATCGCAGTGATGCGTGAAACTCGGAGTAGAGACAAAAAAATTTTAAGTAAGAATAGTAATTACATTCGCTCTACAAAATGTTATGTATTGAGCACTCTCTTCACTATACGTTACAAAACTTGTGATATATATAGGTTATCATATAAGGGATGAGGTGATATCAGTTTTATCGCTCGAGGGATGATATCACAATTGTCACGAGCGAGCGCAGCGAGCGAGGGACAATTGTGATATCGTCCCGAGAGCGATAAAACTGATATCACCGAATCCCGAGTACGATAACCTATTTATTATATACTTGTACCTTTATCAGGGTTTGACACCCAAAAGTAAACAATTTTGAAAAAATAGGATCATTTTAGAATTCAAAACAATTCATCATTTACTGAACAAATATGATTTTAGAAAATAAATAGACCATTCATATAAATAATATACAATTTAAGTCTTTCGTTTTGTATTATCGTTCTTGTTTCCTTTGATAAAACTGTCGACATCAACCAACACGAACCTCGAGTCGGCCATCTTTGTTTTGACAAGGCGCGAAATTTAGCGGGACAAAAAACGATATCCGGGACAAAAAACGATATCCGGGACGATATCGTTTTTATGTCCCGCTGCTTCCTACCTGATAAAGGTACAAGTATGTGATAAATATATATATATAAATATATATATATATATATATATATATATATATATATATATATATATATATATATATATATATATATATATATATATATATATATATATATATATATATATATATATATATATATATATATATATGAGCTTAAAAGGAAAGAAAAAATCGAGCAAATTGACATACCTCTAAAGGATCTCCCTTTCTCACAAAACTTGAATATGATAAGGCCAGTATTTATACAAAAAATGTCTTTGTTTCGCTCCTTAGAGAGTGCAGAGTGCAAGATCGAAATATTTTTTAAAAGCCATTCGTGGTACCTAGTTCGCAGATCGCTGAACAAAGTATTCGGCAGTCGTCGATTTGCTATCGTAAACTCCTGGGGGTATGCTAATGCTCCAATGTAAATTCCTTACTGCTACGTCATAATATGACGTCACAACTGCCGACACAAAATCGAGATACGCTTCAGTATATAAAACTGTTGGCGGGAAATTTAAATGCGCTATACACATCGTCAAGAATAGGAGGCTGCCTTCGGCAGCAATTAGGTTTATGAACTTTAGGTAAACCATATAGAATACCTGGCCGAGAGCCAATGGGCGTAAGTTCATCATGCTGTTGTTGAGATATAAGTTCTTCATTCTTGAGTTCATTAAGGAGTTTACGAATTTTGTCTTCACATTTTACAGTTTCTTTATATATATTAGATTTCTGCATTTTTAACTGTTCGAATTTAGTGTTATCCTTAAGAATGTCAAACATTCTAGATTTATAGTCGCTGCGGTTTATGATAACAATCCCATTTCCTTTATCCGGTTTTATCAAGTATATGTCCTTGTCATTCTGGAGTGATTTAATTGTTTTAAGTTCGTCATCCGAGAAGATAGATGGATGAACCTAGTTTAGAAATTTTATATCAACGTCAATAAAACATATTCCAACTTAGTCGTAGAACATACAACCCTGTACAGCATTTCTGCAGCATTCTTAACCAGGTCCAATGTAAAAAAATCCTAAAATTATTTTGAATTAGCTGTGCCTAAAAAAATA